CATATTACACTGAATATTAAGAGACACATTGTTGGGGTTATTGGGCGATATGATGTTTGGTTAGAAATTACTTCTCTTTTGCATAATTTAACCTTTCAATACATCTTGCAACAGGATCATGGTCTCAGCCCCGGGTCATTTTTCCATTACTAGCCGTGGCCGGACTTGGACTTGGACTTGGAATTATTCGCTCATCTCTCAAGAGAAGAGTAAGTACTGGGATCATGTTACATGTGGTTTCAGTTGTCGTGTTTCACCATTGCGAGTCATTTTTTTTATGAGGCACTTTTATTTGCACTTTGTCTGAAAGGGCTATTGTTTGTAATTCCATTAGGTCCCCGACGAGTACAGGGAGGACTTGATTAGTGGATTGCCAGACGAAGTCCTGTGTTTGATACTCTCCGAATTACCTACGAGAGATGCTGTTAGGACTAGCGTTTTGTCTAAAAGGTGGAGACACATGCATCTTTTTCTCCCCGGATTGTCATTGACTTGTCCATGCACATTTAAGAAGGATACAATAAGCCAGCAACGCACTTGCCCCCTTGATCACTACAAGCGTGGGATCTTGACATTTATAGACCGTTTCCTACAACTACGACAGTGTGTTTGCCGCCACGATCGGGACAAGCATGGAATCTTGACTTTTATGGATCGTTTCCTACGGCTACGACGGGGCTGCAATATTAAATCATTCCAGTTATCATGCTGCTTAAAGGAAGAATTCAGCAGTCATATTGAGAGATGGATGAATTATATTGCTAGGTTAAACGTTGAGGAACTTGTGCTCAGTCTTTCTTGTGACGATGCATTTGTTGGAGATATACCAAGAAGTCTGGTTACATTTCCTTTGCATTTGTTTACCTCCAATCTGGGACCAACAAATTCCCAAGGAACATTTGAGTCCCTTTCGCTGCTTTGGTTGGATGCAGTGTCATTAGTTAATGGTGAACTGCAAAGCATCTTTTCAGGTTGTCCAAACCTAGAGTCTTTAAAGTTGACATATTGTATACTTCCTTCTAAGTTATATATTTGCGGACCGGGACATGAGTTGAAGTCTTTGACAATCACAAGTTGTATCGGGGTAAAGAAGATAGACCTGTGTGCTGGGAACTTGACTAGCTTTGAAATCATTTGCTCTCAAAAGCTGGAAGAAATTAGGCCTTCGCATGTTCCAAAGCTGAAACATTTTTTTGTTGGGTTAAAATATTCTGGTCATTTGTCTCGTTTTATTCATCGAGTTACCAAGGACATGCCTGAACTTGAATCCTTATATATTGAATCAGTTGTTAGTGAGGTATGTGTGTGTGTGTGTGTATTGTGTTGCTATATATGTCCTTTTTCTTGCTTTCCTATTGTCTCCCCTCCCCACCCCACCCCACCCTACCCCGCTATGCTCTACATACGGATGGTTTGCTAATTATAATGGTTGTTTATTACACCTGCTTTTCCAGATGTATTATACCCCGCCACTAGGGCGTGGGTACAACAATCTCAAGGAACTATATGTACTGATGGACTTTAGAAGGCTATACGGTGCTCAACAAATTGCTTGTGTAATTGGCTGCGCGCCACTTGTATGGAAGTTTCGTTTGGTGGTGAGTTGAGTTATTATTCTATCTTTTTGCCATTTAGTTTATTCTTTGTAACAGACCCAACGCATTGATTGTTTGTGTCTGCTAATGTGTGATGCCATCATATTGGTGTGATTGGGTCCTGTATATATTATAGTTACTTAATCTGTTACTATGTATGTTGTTGTGTATTGCTGCAGACAAAAGGCACTGTGGACTATGGAGTACCAAGTATTGGGTTGACCCCAAAATATGGTCATTTTCATCTCAAGGAAGTGGAGATTGGCGGATTTCATGGGCACGCGAGCGAGCTTGAACTGATTAAATTTCTCCTCAGATTTGCAGAGTGTCTTGAGCGTATGACCATCAGCAAGGATTATGAGTACTACCTCGGAGGAGGGAAATGGGAGAAGAAGAAGAGCGGAGAACAAGACACTGTAGTAATGGATGAGGAGCAACGTCAAGTAGTGCGTGAACTCGTGAAGGGAACAACCCCTGCATCTCCTAATGCTCAACTCATTTTGCATTAGCCTTTGTCTGCTGCCCATTTGTATTATGCACAAGCCTAACATTAAATTAATAATAATAATAATAAAAAGAACAATAATGTTTCAAATTATTATAAACACACATATTTATATAGAACCGTGGTCTTTTGCAAATCACTTGATCCGCATGACAAAATTTGACTCCAAAGTCAAAATCAACTTGTGGGGTGCAATTGACGGAGGTAGGGGGGCGTGTTCGGGCCGGGGCCGGGGTGGGGGGTTTACCGGGGGGGTTAGGGGGGGTAGGAACCGTCAATTTTACGAACGGGGCACCGGAGCACCCCCGGGTCATCCCATGACATTGGAACCCAATGTCATGGGAACCTTAGTGTTGTTCTTTAAGGCTCCCGGCATTAACTTCTTGAAACACAAACTCTTAGGCTTTGTATCCATGATTTAAAACACTAGCTTTAGCACACATACAGGTCATGAATATGTGTAATTTAATAGACTTACAGATGCAGCTGTCATGGTTGACCACTTAACCGAAAAGTTTCTTCTTTCAAAATATCTGTCCAGTTTTACAGTAACATGAGTGTAAGCAGTAATTCATATTCCAAATTTCCAACCCTAATACCAAAAGTTAAAAAGCAATACCAATTCTTCAAACACAATCACAAGTTCAAAACTGATAACTAGTAAATAAACAGTGACGACAATAAAGCCAGCAACATAAAAGAATCGTGTACGTAGTATAATTAGAGATGTCCAAGCTTTTGAATCTTGACATTGTGTGTGATTTAGAAGAATAGTGGGTTAACTTAAATATCTCTTGTGATATTCATTTTAATTGTTACTTGCAAGTGTAGGCTATAGCAATCCAAATACGAGGTCGATCCCACATAGGATTGGTTACATGAAGACTCTTATTCTAGATTTAGTTGAAAGTTCCTAATCTAGGTGCCCAAATTGAATGAATAAAAACAACTAACATAATATGCAATTAAAAAAAAGTGTGTAAATTTATTCATAGTTCAAGAAAGGAAAAATTATCCAAAATAATCACAACTTTACCGGTCTTTCAAAAATAATCCCACCTTTCACTGTGATGCATAATAATCCCAACTTTATTGAAATTTGCCAATTTTGGGTCGCCGTTAAGTTTCTAACGGAGAGTTAACGGAAATGCCTGTTTTAGACAACAAAATGAAAGTTGGGATTATTTTTGATTAATTTTTGTTTTTTAATTTTTTTTTTGAAATTTTTATTTAAACTTTTTGAATTACTTTCAACCTCCATTTCTTTTTCTTTTTTAAAGATTATTCTTACCTTAGAAAAAAATAGATATAAAAAATCATGAAAATGAGAAAAATAACTAAAACAATACAAAATTAATCAAATAAATAATGTAATCAATAGAAATTAAACAGAAATTGGTAAGAAATAAAATAAATATATACGGAGTGGTGGGTTTTAACATTTTATACACTATACGAAGTCTTAATATACTACCTATTTTTTAAAAGAACAAGCCGTCCGGTAAAATTGGAATTATTGTAGATAATTTTTTCTAAAAAATAAGTAGTGATATGTTAATACTTTATATAATACGTAAAATATTAAAACCCACCCGTATATTTTTATTTTACTTTTACCAATTTCAAGTTAGTTTCCATTGATTACCTTATTTATTTTATTATTTTTGTATCATTTTAGTTACATTTCTCTTTTTTTCATTTTTTATATCTATTATTTTTATTTTTTAAACTAAGACTAATCTTTAAAAAAGGAAAAAGAAATAATGATGGAGGTAGAAAGTAATTTAAAAAATTTAAATAAAAAATTTAAAAAAATGAAAAAAAAAATATGAAAATTCATCAAAAATAATCTCAACTTTCATTTTTTTGTCCAAAACAGGCATTTCCGTTAACCCTCCGTTAGAAACTTAACGGCGATCCAAAATTGGTGAATTTCAGTAAAGTTGGAATTATTATGCATTACAGTGAAAGGTAGGAATATTTTTGAAAGATCAAGTAAAGTTGGGATTATTTTGGTTAATTTCTCCTTCAAGAAAAGAAGGGAAAGATTAAAACTTGTAAGGGCGACAGTGCATATGAATCGCAGCCTTGCTCCGCTTGGTCAACAATTAGGGAAGTCACCGCAGCTCAAAGCAGTGGTAATACTCCTCACGCCCACCAGCGTTACGAGGCGTTAAACGCCCCGGGGGGTGAAACACCGCCCCCGCCGGCGTTAAACGGGCGTGAGGAGTCCTGCGTCAAACGAATGACGCGGCGTGACTATTGTGCGGCTCCCTCCTAACGGCTAAAAAAGCCGTTGCACCCCAATTTCAAAAAAAAAAAAAATTTCCTATAAATTCAACCCTCCCCAACCAATCTCTCACACCTTCTCTCCAATCTCTTCTTCTTTCTTATTTTTAAATTTCAAAATTCAAACCCCTCCTCCCAATTTTCAACATGAATCCTTCCGGCTCTGGCTTCGTTCCCGACAATTTCCCCCCGAGTGACGCCGCGATGTGGTTCTACCAAGAGTGGGGCGATCGACCGCCGATATACGAGACGCAACAATCGGGGTACGTCGACCGAGATTCGGTTCCGGAGACTCAACCGGAACCGTCCGGATCAAAAAAAAGTACATGCCGGAGGAGCCACAAAGCCAAAAGCACGTTGACCGATGCGGCACGGTCAATCCAAAAGTGGAAACCGGAGGAGAAGTGCATATTAGTGTCGGCTTGGGTTGACGTCTCCGAGCATCCTATCATTGGTAAAAAATTTATTTTTTCTAATATATTTATATTTTAATTTATATATATTATATTTAATGGTGTCAAAAAAAATTGTGTAATACTTTTTTAATGGTACGGAGCAAACGAAGGATGCGATGTGGGATCATATCGAGGAGAAGTTCTTCACGGCGATGAAGAAGGACGGCTCCTATCGAACCCGGGACCAACTCACTTCCAAATGGAGCCACATCAACAAAAAAGTCCGAAAGTTTATGAGAGTTTACGAGGAATGCTCCCGGTCCCGGAGGAGCGGCACGAACGACGCCGATGTTCTCCGGCTTGCCACGACCCGGTATCAAGACGACAGGAACCAAGGCAAGGTGCCCATCGATCTTTGGAGGATTTTGAGTCGTTCCCCAAAGTGGAAACAACTCAACAATTCCGACGGCGAATTGTTCCGGAAAAGATCCACCGTCGACGCCGAGGTTGAGGTCGACGAGACTATCGGTTCTACCGATCAAATCCCTCCCTTCAACGTTGCGGATTCCGACGACGAAGACCCCATTCCACGGCCGATCGGAAGAAAGAAGGCAAAATCCATTGCCTCTGGTTCGGGAGGGTCCGCCTCTGTTTCCGCTTCTCCCCGCGACGAAATCGGCCTGGCAATGGTTGAACAACTTCGGACGTTCAATCTCCAGGAACAGGAGAGGTTGAAGCTAAAGGAGAAGGAGTTGAAGATAAAGGAGCAAGAGGCCGAGATGAAAGTCATGCAAACCGACCCCGGGACGTTGTCGGAGTTTGGACGAATTATCTACGAGCAAAGAATGAGAGAGATCAAGGAGAATAATAAATTACCTTAGTTTTTTTATTAATGTATCTTTTTTTCTTTTATTGACGCTTTTTTATTTAATTAATGTATTTTTTTATTATTCGCGTTTCAATTTAATTAAATAATAAATTAATTTAAATTTATAAATTTAAATTTAGGAGATGTATATTTAAAAATGCAAAAAATGAAGGTTTGAAGCCCCAGTTTGAAGCCCGGGACTTCAAAACCATTTCCAGTAAATTTTGGGTGTAAGTTAAAGCTGACGTGGCAGAGAGAGAAAGTTTGAAGCCCCGGGGCTTCATGACCATTACCAGTGCTCTTAGAAGGCTGAAGGCCGCCAATTGGCAACTCCCTTTTTTTCTGAATATTTTCTTCTCGCATTTATATATGTAGAGAGAATCTAGAACCATTTCTTCAAGAGTGGAGGTTTTGGAATGGGATATGCTAGGGGTACACCAAAGGTCTACGCCAAATGTACACCACCCCTCTCTCTATCATTCATTTTATTTTATTTTTATTTTTTACTTTTTTTTTTTGAATTTTCTTGCCTTTTTTGTGTGGTGATGGAGGGGGTGGAGGATGTTTGTGGTATACTTTTGGTGTACCCCTAGCATTTTCCTTTTCAATTTGAAGGAGATCTCCATTTTTTGCGATGTTAATTAGGCAATGCTAGGGATACACCAACATGTGGTACCCCAAATATACACCAAGCCAACACAGACACACAGACACAAAATGTCTGTGCAAAAATACTCTTGATGTGATGCATAAAAATAAGATTTGATGAATAAATTATTAGTAAAAAGATATGATGTGATAGGTAGAGTATGAAAAAGTAAGGGGTAAAAGTGATTTTTTAATAAATAAGAGAAAGTATTAATTCTTTGTTTTATCTTTGTTAGCAAGGTGAATCTTAATGCCTAATGCGTGCACTCATTATAACTATTATATATTTAACACAAACACAATAATCTAATGGAGAGATCCAATTTCCTATCCTCATGTAATTGTTCAAGATCACAATGTAAAGTGCAAAATGATCCTCTCGGCCCAACTATTTAACTACATGCAAAATGAGCATGCCTTCGTGTTTTACGGGCCACATGGTCGGGGTTTTTTTACAGCAACCTTCATTCTAGGACTGGGTTGGGAAAACCGAAAACCGCAAACCGAACCGAAACCGATCGAAACGAGCTAGAAAAAAAACCGAACCGAAGAAACCGAAACCGAATGTAAAAAAACCGAACCGAACCGTTAGTGTTTGGTTCCGTTTTGGTTTTCACTTTGAAAAACCGAACCGAACCGAATAAACCGAACTTTCTTAGATACTTCACATTTTTTATATAAATATATGTGATATGTAGAAAAATCATAGAAATATAAATGCAAA